CTGACCTGGCTACAAACACTTCCTTCTGTTCTGCCACCCATAGCCATGTCTAACTCCCACCAGTTCCTGATTTAGACTCTCCTCAAACTGAGATGCTTGGTGTGATCCCTGAGCAGCTCTAAGCCCAAGAATTCATCAGTTTGGGTGTGGTGCCTCCCCTTGCTTTCAGAGATCCCTGCATTTGACTGGCAGGACAGACAGAATGATGCAGAATCTGTCATGGGCTCAGCAAAATCCTTACAGCCCTTTAGGCAACTCATGCCCTTTGCCTTGGCCTGTTGATAATGTGTAAAACAACTCTAAGAGAGTCAGTTCAGCTCTGCTATGTGTAAAACAGCTCCAGAGGAGTCACTCCAGCAGAAATGAGCAGCCCCAGACACAGGGAGGCTGTGGATCCTCCCCTCACCCCACAAAATAAAACGAATTTTTTCTTTTCTCACAGAGATCTGCCTGACAATAGTGTTTGTGCTGAGGAGTGTGGATGTGGGGGCTTCTCCCTGGGTGCAGTTTTGTTCTCCCAAGGAGATCTGTGACAAGGATGAGGTCAGAGGACTGTGTGCCTTGCAAAAGCCTGGCCAGGCCAGTCCCTGTCTGCCCTTCTGGGGTGATGTAATCTGTGCTCAGCAATAACATTTCCAAGAGGTGGATAACAGCATTTTAGTTCAGCTCTAATAATTCTGTTAAATCAGAGCTGGGCTGGTAATTGCTGTTTGTGGCTGAGGTTGTTCCATATGTGTGTTATGCAGGATGTTATTGTGATGAAATGTTCCCTCTGGATGCCCTCAAGAATTCGCCTTTGTCATGGGCAGGCAGAGCCCTCCTGAGCTCTCTCTGCCTTTGCTGAGCCCTCACAACTAAAGGAGAGGGGGGAAGGAAGGCAAATTTCACCTTGTTTCTGTTTCTGCTGGGAGGTTTAAGTTGTGTAAGTGCCCGTCCTGCTTTGCTTTAGGGACACAAAGCTTTGCTCAAGCCCTGCTCGTTCCTCTGAAAGGCACAGCCTGGCAGTGTGGGCTGAGTCCAGGGGCTTACAGGAATTACAGCTCGTGGATCCCAAAGTGAGCCAGAACAGGGAGCAAAAGTGCAGGAAAAGCCTCTTCCAGAGAGGCTCACGTGGTGCTCTGAAGCAGCACTTTCAGTTTGATCCCAGCCATGAGAAACGGACCTGAGAGAGGCAGGAGCTGTCCAGAAATACCGTGAAAACACACGGCACTTGGGGTTCTGTGAGCTCAGGCAGGGGGAATGGCTTCAAACTGCCAGAGGGCAGGGATAGATGGGATACTGGGGAGAAATTCCTTCCCTGTGAGGGTGGGCAGGCCCTGGCACAGGTTGCCCAGAGAAGCTGTGGCTGCCCCATCCCTGGGAGTGTCCAAGGCCAGGTTGGACGGGGCTTGGAGCAACCTGGGCTGGTGGAAGGTGTCCCTGTCCATGGCAGGGGTGGGGCTGGTTGTTTCTTAAAGTCCCTTCCCACCCAAACCATTCTATGATTCCATGAAAAATTCCTGAAATCTGAAATAATATGAAAATCACTCCATCTACGTGTTTTTCAAGGAATTGGGCAGTTTTTAGCTCTCTCACCAGAGGGTGACACTGAGCCTCAGCCTATAAGAGGGAACATCTTGGATAAATTCCAGGGGTTCCTTCCCATCCCATGAGCCAGACACCTCCATCAGTTCAGCTCAGCTCAACTTGTGGCTGAGCCCCCTTTTTGGCAGGGCCCATCTCTCCCCACCAGCTCCAGAGGCACTCCCAGCAGCTTGATGAGGGCACAGGGCTGGGGACAGAAAGGAGGAAAACAGAACAACTTGGGGATGTTTGTCTGGTCCGTCTGTGCTCCCACTGCTCTGCCTGAGCTTCTGCAGCTCCTCTGGGGCAGCTGGACACGAGGATGGGGGGAAGGTCCAGGAGAGCTTCACTCCCAGTGTGAAACACCCTGGGCAAGGAGGGATTGTGGCAAAGCCTGTTTGAACAACAGCCCCTGGGTTTGCCCCACCCACAGCCCCCAAGGCACCTCCGAAATTCAGCGATCTGTGAAGGCCAGAGAAACGATCAGGGGTGGGCAGGAATAAAAAAAAAAAAAACCAAACCACAGAAAGCAAGCGTGGCATCCTGTAGTTACTCCATAAAACAGGACAAGTCCTGCTCCTTGAAGTCTGCAAATTCGAGTTTCTCCTGGGAAAAGCTCCCTCCTGTTCCAATGCTAATGGCTCGTTATCACAGGGTTGTTTTAATTTAACTGCAATGTTCTATAAGCGGAGGAAGAGCAAGGTTCAGAGAGCAAATGGCTGATGAACAATCTTCAATCTGGCAGTAAATGTTTGCTTTTTTTTAATATACTTCCCCTTCTTGATCTCTGTTTTAAACAGTTTCTCCAAAGGGCTGTAGAAAAGACAGCTGATTTCAGCTGGAGGTAAAAGCACTTATTTGTGTGTTTCTTTGATCCTTGTTTAAAACAGGGAATTTATGGCACTTCTGGAGGGCCAGTTGCCAGAGTGGCTGGTCCTGAGAGCACAGAAATTGCTGGTATATGAGCAAAAATTGGCTTATTGGGAAGAAAAAATGCAGCACATTTTAGAAAATGATAGAGAAAATGGAATCAAATTGGGCATTGCAGCCACAAAACATCTCTGCCTCCCAGGAACAGGAAAACCATCTCATGGAGCACAAATAAATTCCAGGGACTCAGAGGCAAAGGTCTGCCACCCTTTTCCAGGAATGCAGCAACCAGAGCTTGCAGGAGCAAGGGAGGAAGAAGAGAGAAAGAGCCCATGATCTCTCCCATGGAATTAGAAAATCCTTGTTTCCTTTTTTCTTCCCAGCCAGTTTCTGGGTGAATGCCTCCAAATTTGAAGGGCTTTGCTACCCCCTTGCAACTGTAAGAATAAAACTGTCTTCTGTTAACCCTCCCAAACGTAGAGAAACACTTTCTGTGTGTTTTGAGGAGTTTACAGGGAGCACTTGGCTGACCTTGACCAGAAAAAAATCCGTGTGGGGAGGGAGTGGGAAACTTTTTCTGTTAGACAGGAATAACATCGTCAGAAGTCTCAGCAGCTCCTGCCTGCCATGTGTGAGCTCCTCTGGGGCTCTTCAGCACATTCCTGGGGTGGCAGAGCCTGTGCCACACTGCCCTGGCCAGGCAGCTCCTGGGGAGGGGGTTTGGGGGCAGAACAAGGGGACTCAGGTGAGACCCCCCTGCAGAGCTGCCCCAGCCCTGGGAACAGCACAGCAAGGACATGGAGCTGCTGCAGAGAGTCCAGAGGAGGAACCAAGAGGATCAGAAGATGGAGCAGCTCTGCTGGGAGGAAAGGGGAGAGAGCTGGGATTGTTCAGCCTGGAGAAGAGAAGCTTCAGGGTGACCTAACTGAGACCTTCCAGGACTTGAAGGGACCAACAGGAAAGATGCAGAGAAACTATTGACAAGGGCCTGGAGGGACAGGACAAGGGGGAATGGCTTCAAACTGGTAGAGAGCAGGGTTAGATGGGATATTGGGAAGAAACTCCTTCCCTGTGAGGGTGGGCAGGCCCTGGCACAGGTTGCCCAGAGAAGCTGTGGCTGCCCCAGCCCTGGAAGTGTCCAAGGCCATGTTGGAGCAACCTGGGCTAGTGGAAGGTGTCCCTGCCCATGGCAGGGAGTGGAATGAGATGATCTTTAAGTTCCCTCCCAAACCATTCCATGGTTCTGTGACATCCAGGAATGTTGGGGAGTGGTTGGGGTGCTCACCCTCAGATTGTTCAGACGCAAGGTGGACTCTGCTGACAGGAGGAATGACCTGGAGAACCAGCACTAGGTACTGGGTACTGGGCTGAGACTGACTGGCTAAGAGGAAAAGAGGAAAACTTCTCAGACTGAGCAGGTTCCAAAGTCTCTGTCCTATTAGTGTTGCCAGAGAGCTTGAAAGTGGATGAGAACAAAATGCAATCTTTGAAAAATAGAGCTGTAACATCTGCACATGGCCCCAGGATATTCCCACCTGGATCCCTGATGTACTCTTGTCCCTGCCCACAGTTCTCCTGCTCCAGCCCCAGGCTCTGGACCACCAGAGCCTCCAGGCAGCCTGGCTCTGAGCAGTGATCCACCTCAGCTTGGGCAGAAAGTCATGGAGAAGTGGAGATTTACCGGGGATTGAGCTGCAATCCTGGCCCCTGAGGCCACCTCCCTTCCCTCCCCCTGCACCTATCTTATCTCTGCCTCTCTCTGAAATAAAAGGAATAGAAAAATTAACAACATGAAAAAGGGAGGAGATGATAAAGAGTATCTGAAAAATTATCTCTGTCCTCATTTCAGAGCTTTGCATGGTAACAGGCAGGCAGGAGGCTTTTTTCTTTATTAATGTATTAAAATATTAAAAGGCTGGGTGTCTGTTGAACCTACTCTGTTGTCAGGGGATGAGAAAGCTGCAAAGAAGTCTTTTGAGAAGGCTGTGGCACTTGAGGAACTGTCCAGGGCTGCCACTCATGGACCAGAGCAAATCGAAGCTAAAAGACAAAGTCTGCTGTCCTGCTGTTCCTGGGAATGAGGGTCCAGCCTGGACAGGGGGACCTTGGCACCTTTGCTTTTGTGCTGAGACAAAAGCTCTGCTGGCAGGAATCCTGTCAGGAGGGTGGCTGGACTGGGAAAAGTTCAAAGCCAAAAATCTCTTCTGAATTCTTTTAGCTCCCCAGTCCTGAAGATCTGAGTGAGACCAGTCCCAAACCTCAGCCTGAGCCTGTGATGAGCCCATTTCCCCAAGAGTGGGGTGTTTGCTTGGGCAAATCAGTGGCTCCCCTCTCAGGTTCTATTCTTGCCTTGGGAAATGATCCAAATGTGCAGTTGTTCTCCATAAAGCTCTGTCAGTAAAGCAGTGCTGCTGGAGCTGTTGTGTTCTGGGAGACCCTCAGCTTGCTATTAACAACGTAACACGTGATGGGGGGTCTTGGTGCTCCTGTATGAGGGTGATATATGTATTTATATATCCACACAGACACCCTGAATAAAGGTGATTTTGTTTCCTTTTCCTTGGCAGGTCACTATGGGAAGGATATTTACCGAAGTGGAGGCCCAGATCTCCATAATTTCATCTCCTCCGGGTTTGTCACGTTAGGAAGAGGACACACGAAGGGTACAGTGGAAACCATTTTTTGCTAAAAAAAAAAAAAAAAAAAAAAAAAAAAAAAAAAAAAAAAAAAAAAAAAAAAAAAAAAAAAAAAAAAAAAAAAAGATTGTTTTAAATAAAAAGCTCTAACTCAGCAGTGGGTTCTAAGTGCCCTGAGAGAGCAGTGTTGGACTGCAGGCAGTAGGTTTAGCCCAGGAAATATCGCTGCAGGTAAAACACTGTGCTTGGGCAGACCCTTTGAAATCCTGGCAGGGGAGGAGGTGGGGGGGGAGGGTAGAGTCAGCCAAAGTCCAGATTCCAGACTCTGCCTGTGCAGTTGGACTGTTCATACAGCTTTTGTGTTTTCCTGGGTGCATGGTTGCAACCCCCCCCTCGTTCCTGTACTCCCAGATGGAAGGGAAAGGGTGTACAGCTGGCCCAGGGCAGGCAGTGACCACTTCCAGAGAGTCTTTCTGGAGTTCTTTTGTTTGACTTCTGGGCTTTTATTTTTTTTTTTAATTTATTTAATTTTATTTTTTTTGGTGGGGGGGTGGTGGTGAGGGGTGTATGATGAATATTTTATAAAGTTCTTTCCTTTTTAGCTCCTGAAACATATATTTTATGTGTTCATATATAACCTGTGATATAATGTACAAACAGGAAAACACAAAAAATATACATATACTGCTCTGTGTACGTTCTGTGTATATGTACTGTATATAAAATACATGTTGAGAGCCAGCTGGAGCTCTATAAGACAAGTAACCACCTGTCCCAGGAGTCCTGGTGACACCAAAGCTGTGAGCTCTGACCCAGCTGGGCACCAGAACCCCCAATGAATGTTCATTTGACGAACCTTGTTGCCTGCTTTGGTGAGTTTTTAGAGTGTACAGTGAGACTGTGTTCGGAGCATCCCTCTGTCCCTGCCCCAGCCACCCTGGCAGTGCCACTGGGCTGTGCCACTGGGGGTGCATGTGCCGGTCCCTGTCTGGTTTTGTGTCCCCCCCCCCCCGACCTCGAGACTGTACTCTCCTCTAGACACAATGTATGTGGAGACCCCTCTCTAGACCAATGTACTGTATGTGGAGATGTGTCCTCGTGCTCACCTGGTTGAACGCTCCTGTGTTGTTCCTGTGGATGACATGACTCGCAGATTATTAAAAGACCTCGGTTTTTACATTTCCTGCACTTTCTCCAGCTCTCCACGAGTGTCATCCGCAGTAGTGTTGGTCCTGTAGCACTGTCAGAGAAGAAACAAATTTATGTATATTGTCTGTGTATGTCTGTGTGTGCTTAAATAAAGTTTACTGAGGCTGAGGCAGCACCCGTGGGACTTGTAATCCAATACCCTGCAATTCCAGTCTGGCTCTGCTCCGGGGGAGGGGGAGCAGAGGAACCACCTCCAAACCCCAGCTGGGCTGGGAACTGCGATGGTCCAAGGAAGGACATTTACACAAGGTCTCCCTTTCTCCAGCCCACCCAAAAGGAGTTTTACAGTCATGTCATGTCGCATCAGGAGGGTGTTTAGGGTGAGACAGCAAGAGAACCCCAGGACAGATGTTCCACAGGGTGGAGTGCCCTGATAACCTTTCCCAAGCACAAGGATAACCCCCAGCAGGGCCACATTCCTGCCTCTTTGTCCCAGACAATCTGGATTATCTCCCAGCAGTTTTCTGGACAATGTGATTTCCCCACTTCCTTCCTAGATAAGAACAAAACCTGCTTTCCCTCTTCACTGGAAGGGCTCGGGGGCTCTGCTCTCCTGTGGATGGGCTCGTGGTTTCCACACCTTTTCCACTGGCTTTGCTGGAAGCCCCACAGAGCACATTTGCCATCCCTGGGAAGGTGGAAGAGTGGGCAGGGGGAGTCCAGACTGTCCATACACCCCAACAGCCCCCCAGCCGGGGGAGGGAGGGCTTTCCAAAGTTTGTTTTCTAAAAAAAATCCAACTATACCTTGGCTGTTTATGGAGAAACCAGAATGGAATGGCCTTAGGATTTACTTTTCAGCTACCTATAAACCCGCATTTCATTGAAACAGTATTGTAATATTAATTTCTGATTTTTTAATGGCAGATTCACACTCCCACTCATGCGTGGTGCAAGTGCTGAACATCTCCACATGCACTGCAGGCAAACTGCCTGGTTTGCCTGTGCAAATGTGTAGCTTTGTCTTTGTCTGTGCCGTGATTTGTGTGTTTGTGCTGTGAAAGCAGGGAATTTTGGGGGGGGAGCAAGTGACTGAGGGGCTCTATTGTTACGATTGTGCCTGATATAGTTTGATTATTTCTGGAAATATTGAAAAGTTTCCTGTGTTCAGTTGGAACTGGCAGCCCAGCACCTGGACAGGGGAGATGAGTGCTACAGCAAGGGTTAGTCCTGAGCTGAGCAGCTTCATGCTCAACTTTTGTCTTATTTCAGTTCCAGTACCTGTGTTAAAATCCCCACTTCAGCTGCCATGAGCCAAATAACCCCACCCTGCCTTGTTGTTACACCAAAGGGGTTCTACTTTTAGACTGAACAAAGCCAGTGAAGTTTAGCTCAATATTTCTTTGCTCTGGGAGACACATTTTTGGTGTTTTCTCAACTGTCTTCTGTGCTGTGGCAGAACTCCAAGTGCTGAGTAATATTTAAGAGCTAATCTATTTCGGGCGGAAGACAAAGATGTGAGACATGCCAAACTACCATGGAGACCAAATCAGCACATCCACATGTCTGACATGCCCAGGCTCCTGCAGGACCG